CATCACCAAAGGAGGTAGTCTCCTTGCTGCAAATTCAATAATGTCCACCAAATTTTCGGCCAGAAGCCATCATCAGGACCTTTCAGTCTGTCGAACAGTGCATGTCTTACCGGAACCAGTATCTTCTCCAGACTTTGGAGCAGGGACGGCAATGGAAGTGCCTGATGTGGACTCAGGAAGCCTGCAACCAAAACCAAAGGCAATCAACAACGAACAACAATGATCTCATGGACCAATGAAGAAACATTTGCAACGGAAAGGTGTGCCACAATTGGGCTGAGAAGAGGCGCCATCCAGATCTCCATTCAGAAATACACTGTGGCAGGTAAATCGCCCAGGTTCCACAGCACCCGCTACCAAAACAACAAACAACCACCTGACCATGATGTCATCATCCCTGACCATGATGTCATCATCCCTGACCATGATGTCATCATCCCTGACCATGATGTCATCATCCCTGACCATGATGTCATCATCCCTGACCATGATGTCATCATCCCTGACCATGATGTCATCATCCCTGATCATGATGTCATCATCTACTGTAAGTCTACAAATTTTCGGCACCTTCAAATTTCGGCCTCCCAGGGCTAAAACACATTTCGGCTTCCCAGGGCCAAAACACATTTCGGCTTCCCAGGGCTAAAACACATTTCGGCTTCCCAGGGCTAAAACACATTTCGGCCTCCCAGGGCTAAAACACATTTCGGCTTCCCAGGGCTAAAACACATTTCGGCTTCCCAGGGCTAAAACACATTTTGGTCTGTACTACTGCTACCTGTCTACACTGTCACACTGAACCTTGCAAAACAAAAATTCAGCTGCAACACATTTCCGGCCGAAAAATGCCCCGGCCGAAAATAGGCGAAAATATATATGCGCCGAATATTTGCTGACTTACAGTACGTAAAGACGCTCTGCTCTGTCCTTGGGTTATGTTTTTCCTAACGGCTTTCTTTCCAATTATCTTGTTACAGCAAGGCTTGTCACCAACCATGGTGTACTTAGAGTGGAGTTTAATATTCCCATTGCAAAATCCTAACATGATCTGCAGTCTTCACATGCAGCACCCAACAGATCATCACGTGCATTAGCGACATACTCATCAGGGTCAACACACACAGACACATGCATGCACACACGCACGCACGCATACACACACACGCACACACACACACACACACACACACACACACACACACACACACACACACACACACACACATACACGCACCCGCACACCAGTTCAAATCTGCAAGCTTACGTTTCCGGCAGCAGTGACATGACAAACTGCTGCACGCCCAGCAGCGTCTGCAAGTGTGCGTTGGCACGCAGAGAGCACACGACAATGTCCAGCTTTGTCTTGGTGCTGGAGAACTTGGACGCGAACTCTGGACCTTCAGGCTGAGCCTGTCAGAGAAGCATTACATATGGTAGGAAGGAGGAGCAAACATATTGCCAATGATAAATGATCTGCAAATCCTCATACAAAATACAGCAGTGGACCAAAGCTGTGCTGTTGTTTGGTACTCAGACTACCATAACACACAGTGCTAGCATTACATAACTTGGTACATTGTTTTGTTGTGTACTCAACTCTCTCTCCCCCCTCCCCTGGCACTTGAGCACTTTCGCTATTGAGTTGGGAGACCTCATTCAGAAATTTCTGTACGGTTAAGTGTTTGCCACGACAATTAAGCTGCAAACACCCTTTCGAATACAGGCTAATTGAGACCCAGTGGAAAAAGTTCACCTGTGTTAAACATTTCTATAATTCCATCTACGTTGCCTGATGATCGTAGTAATACGTGAAACTCAGAGTTGTAACAAAGCTTCCAAACTCTCTCTTGTGTACAAGGCTCTGCCCTACATGGGCATTGAGCACTCTTCGGACAGTGAAGCACACCACTTGACTATAATTCCATCTACTCAATCTGCGGACAGCATGCTGTTTCGTACAATTCCATCTACAAATGCATGAACCTCTTACAAATCAGTGGAGTTTCCACGTGTAGATCCAACTTACAACTGTCACATTGATGACCAACAAGTCTTGAAATCGGTCACTGTCCAAAATGTACATCGGTCCGCCATCGATACCTGTTCAGTGCACAAACATACACCCATGCATGCACGCACGCATGAACACACGCACGAACGAACGCACACACGCACACAAGCATCCACACATATACAATGTCTTACACCCACCCAAGTAGTGACATGCATAAGCAGAAACAGACACACACACTTAAGGCACGTGTACGATGACAATGCAAGTCCAATAGTCACGACACATCAAGTTACAAGCAAAATTCAACTGCAGGAGAATGCGTGATACAGATAGCAACAGAGAAAAAATGCCCAACCGAAGCTCGACGTAGTGACGCGATGCTCATTCGCCACACTAACTAAGTCCGGTACTCCATCCGACTTGAGTTTGCAACAGGCAGCACACTTTACCTGTTTGCGTGCACTCCTCCACGGAAATGTAGTTCATGGCCGCATTGGCTTGCAGGTCATACTGCCGCATCGTAACACCGGCAGAGAGACCAGACACTGCCACGCGCAGCCGGGGACGTTCAACATCTCCCAAGGTCTCCAGAACAGTGAGTGAAACCTGGCGAATCAAACCAACGAGAGAAACATCAACTTGAGTTTTTGACATACATTACAACTAATAACAGCTCCTGAAGCATGTCTTAGGCAAAACAGACAAGAATGGAAGCGTGTCAATCACAGATGCATAGGCAGTACTGTAAGAAATGTTATTATAACGAGTCACAAATTTAACGATTGTCCAAAGTCCATAGGTCAACGAGAACATACGATAACGATCTTGCAGTCTTCAGGCTTATCCGCACATACCACATATGTGGCCTTGCCGCCTCAACAGAACTTATTATGACGAAGAAATGTCACCGGTTAAAACGTTAGATTAGCTTCCTCATTAAATTTACATGTCTTTCAGTAATGTGTACGCTGTTCTTACTATCATGATAACTACAGGATACACTAGACTTCAGTGTGATCACTCTAGCCAGTCACTCTGAGCTCAGCTGATCAGACCTAACAAAGTGGAAGCAGTTAGGTGACTCAAGATTGAGTTGCAACCACAAGATGAAGTGTACACAAAGAAAGCAAGGCACTCCCCTGGACTCAAGCTTTCACATTTCATAATGATCACACAGACAAACACAAAGCACGACATTCATCCCAGCAAATAGCCTGTGGATGCTACTGCAGTGCGTATGATGTTGTATGAATGAATGGCGTTGCACGACTGCATAATGTTGCATGACTGCATGGTGCTGCATGAATGCGCACCTCCTCCAGCTTGAACGAAAGCTCCAACTTCACTTTACTGGGTGGTACATTCGTCTGCGGTCTATCAAGAGCAACAAGAAAGAGAAAACACAAAAACACAGACAAGAGACCTCATCACTTCAACAGGAGCAAAGGGTAGCTTGGGTCAGACTCAAAATAACTGAATGTTGCAAATACTCATCCACACTTTGGCGATATAAGGTACAAAGTACATGTACACTGGAATTTTGGCATACACATGCATGCCCACACACACGCATGAACGCAGGAATGCACACACGAATGCATGCACGAATACACACACACACACACACACACATGTGCACACACACGCACACACACACACGACACACACACACACGACACACACACACAGACACGTGCGACACCCACACACACACACACACACACACACACACACACACACACACACACACACACACACACACACAGCAGTAGCACATCCTGGTACTTGACACTTGACATTTTATGTAAAACAATGACACATGAAAATAAAGTTAATGAACATACGTTTCTGGTATATCAGGACTGCTCGCTCTGGACTTTGAAGGCACAACACTACCACCTAGGGCACATACAAATGGTATGATCAAAGAACACATTTAATTTGGCTGAATAGTAAACATATTGTCGGCAACCACACTGCACGAAGATGAAGAACACCAATGCAACCACCCTACTGTCTTCTATAAACACATGTTTCATTTGTTTGCCTGATGCAAGCCTGATTGTCAAGATAGGCCATGGTGATTGACCAGTGAATGAATCTTGAAGTTACGGCAAACAGCCTCTTGCCTCCTGGATTTGTGTACGCCTGATCTTGCGCAGACATACAGCATAAATCCCTTCCCGCACTGAAGCATATCTCCTAAAAGCGGTGAAATACTACGAAAACGCACACAAGCCGTAGCTTTTCTACCACACATCTTAACAGTAGATCAGCGCAGGCACCACTTACAAGCCAACCTGTACAGTTACGTGTAATCACAATGTTTGTACTGGCACTTATCTCTCCACATGTGTATATGTAGGTGTTTGCAACTCTGTATACATGAGTGTGGACATGCAGGTGTGTACATGCATGTATTGTATTGTATTTTATTATTTTACTTGGGCAATCCCAACAGACCCATGTGTTTGAATGCACACATGCACGTGTGCATGCAGGTGTTTGTAACTTTGTATGCATGAGTGTATACACACAATCACTAGTGGCCTGTCACTGACCGGCTGGTGCTGCTGGCTGTGTACTACCAGACTCCGGCATGCCTTCCTTCAGATTGCCATCCAGCAAACCAAACACAAAGTCAACATCGCCTTTGCAGACTTGCGCCTGGGCACATAGAGAACAGAGGAGAACTAACAACATCAGCCCAGAAATGGAAAAACGCAAGGGCAAACGATCAGCCATGCCCACAGCAGAGAACTACACAAACACGCTACAGACACAAGACTATGTTTTAACGAAATACATGGTGAGACCAAGGCTATACAAGCATACCAGGTAGTCCAGCCCAGCTACACATGCATTGTGAATTACAACAGGCTAATACTAGTACTTGTGGAATGCTATATACTGACCTGTATAGGCTTGCATTCTCCGGCCACGGCCACGTCAGCTATGTCATGACACCACGGCGACAAACTACGGCGAACATTCACCGACATCGTCACCTCCTGGAGAATCGTGTGCAGGTTGCCGTCGGTGGATTCCACGACACCGTTCTTCACCACACGTCTGCACAAACACATGTACAGAGCAGACACACGCTGGCCTCAAGCGAAGGTCCCTGGTTCGAGTCCTGGTGGTGACAGTCAATTTTTTTTCATACTTTCCTTTTCCATGCCCTCAACTAGTGAATAAGATAAGACAATGTAGCACCAGCAGCAGTTACACAACCTGAACACTCTGAGAAGACACAAATTGAAGACCATACACACACTTTGAAAAGCACAAGATAACAGAAAAGCAAATGATGGTTCACAAGAGATACTCATTGTCCAGTGTTCCCACTGTGCTTTGAGATATATGTGGGGCAATAAATAAATCAACAAACACAGCCAACTCTATTGTGTACACAAGCCCTTCCAGCATGCTATTCTACAGTTTAGTACGTGTACGTATTGTACCTTGCAACTTTGACATCGGTTAATGCGATGGCCATGTCATCAATGACAACGGGTGATGTGCCATCAGAGTTCGTTATATCGCCGTGTCTCACAAACGTGTTGAGAACGGTGAGTCGACCCAGCCACAGCACCAGCGAATGGTCCGATTCGGAGGACAACGGCACCACCACCACGGGAGCCGCCACGTCAATGTCGAGACGGATGCGACTGCCACTCTGCTCGCGTACGGCTTCGAACTATAGTCAGAAACACACGGAGAACGAACAAAAGTTATCGTGGAGTTCCCGTGGCAGGTTTCATTTATAGGAAGGTGATTCTCTGGAGGCAATCAGCAAGCTCTTTCCTAGCTGGGGGGTTGTCACGAGGGAAGGGAAGAGACTAACTAGAGCTATACTAACATCAGCAGCAGCAACAGCAGCAACAGCAGCAGCAGCAGCAGCAGCAGCAACAGCAGCAGCAGCAGCAGCAGCAGCAGCAGCAGCAACAACAGCAGCAACAGCAGCAACAGCAGCAGCAGCAGCAGCAGCAGCAGCAGCAGCAGCAGCAGCAGCAACAACAGCAGCAACATCAGCAGCAACAGCAGCAGCAGCAGCAGCAGCAGCAGCAGCAGCAACAGCAACAGCAACAGCAGCACTTACAACAAACTTACCCCAGCAGCTGCAGCTTCACTGGCTCTGGCTTTGGAAGCATTGATGGTCTCCTGAGATGTCTGGAACTCTTTCACAAATACCTGAGCAATGACATCAATAGTTCGATGCAATCATACAAACGCCTGAGTAATGACGTGAATACGTACAAAGAGCACGCAGCAGATGAAACACGCTGTACAATCACTGCGTTTCAGCAGGTGCTGTCAAAAACCCAATTGATTAGCATTCGCTTGCCGGTGGAGGATCTTTTTCAACATACACATTCCAACCCACTACTATCACCGTTTCAATAACTGCATGAAAGAAAGAGGGACAAGAGAAAGCTATTGTGGAGGCCCTATACATGACGGTAGGACGATGAAAACCATTTTTTTAAAACATTTAGTACAACAGCGCTCACCAGCATTCCCTGCACAAAGCGGTTCAAGAAGACCACCTCCACTTGTCCCATGCGCGCAAACAGCTCCATGTCGAGCTTCTCCGGGTCGAGAGAGTAGTCTGCCATCTCCAGGTACTTGTACTGGATAAACTGAAAAATGAGCATGAGCCAAACGCAAACCAAAGCACGGCCATGTGGCCACTGTGTATCAGACATACATTGCCACAAGCCGGCAGGTACATCTACACAGCTACAGCACTGGCCAGAGAACTCCAACTTCATGAATAGAAAAGCACCCCGGGTACGATGCAGGCCTAGCACTACACACACTGTTCTGTGCACTCGAACGCGACGCTACTATATTCACGATGTTGGATATCCCTGGCTAGAACTGTACATCACATGCAGCCACGAATGGCACAACAACCCCCCTGCTTCATGCATGTCAACTTCACCTTCTCCGGAGACATGTAACATATTTCCTCAAAAGCAATCCACTAGTTAGCTTTGGAAGATCTACTACTAAACGAAAATGAATGTATGGGTCTGTGAAATCAACACTGTAAACAAAATACTGCAGTCAGCGTAATTGCGTGATGTTTGGTGACGTGGACAAGGTGGCACCAGCACTAAAGACAGACTCTGCACACGGTAGTACACACAGCGCACCTTGACGTGAAGCAAGTCTTCGTTCTCCGGAGCTGACACAATCTACAATCAACAGCACATGCACACACGCACACGAACACACGAACACATGTGCGCACACACACAAACACACAGATGATGAACGGTGTACACTTGGGGCATTCTGGTAGGAGAAATGGAGTGGCTAGGGTCATCCCAGACCAGCCACCATAGCACTCTACACATCGCATAGCAAACACCTCCATACGCATATCCAGTCGAGAGGCAAACAAGCTCAATACTGTAGAGACCAAGTCGTGCCACACCAATCACACCAAATCAAGGAAACACCAGGCACACAGACTTCAAGTTTCATGCTAACGCAGCTATTCATAACATGGTATTACTTTTACTTTTTATTTTATTTTATAATATTTTACTATTTTAAAAGTCCACTATGCTCCCGGAATACATTATATGCGTCGGAAAATGGGGTGTGAGATATTCAGCTGAAGTTTCACAAGAAAGGTCAACGAACATTATGCCTTTGATCATCAGGCAACATGTTGTCAGGCAGTGGTGTGTCAGTGATAGCTCTGCCACTGCAACTAGTTAGAACGCAGCACACACACACACACACACACACACACACACACACACACACGCGCGCGCGCGCGCACACGTGCACACACATACACGACAGCACGCACGCACACAACTTACCTTTCGATAGGACGTCTTCTCAAACAGGTCGACAACTTCCAGCGACTTCAGCCTGCACACAGGCACAACCATACATGTGCACAAAACAAGCAAGCAAACATGATGACTATAGCCAACATACTTACACCCAATGTGTGTACGTGTGTGTGTGTGTGTGTATGTGTGTGTGTGTGTGTGTGTGTGTGTGTGTGTGTGTGTGTGTGTGTGTGTGTGTGTGTGTGTGTGTGTGTGTGTGTGTGTGTGTGTGTGTGTGTGTGTGTGTGTGTGTGTGTGTGTGTGTGTGTGTGTGTGTGTGTGTGTGTGTGTGTGTGTGTGTGTGTGTGTGTGTGTGTGTGTGTGTGTGTGTGTGTGTGTGTGTGTGTGTGTGTGTGTGTGTGTGTGTGTGTGTGTGTGTGTGTGTGTGTGTGTGTGTGTGTGTGTGTGTGTGTGTGTGTGTGTGTGTGTGTGTGTGTGTGTGTGTGTGTGTGTGTGTGTGTGTGTGTGTGTGTGTGTGTGTGTGTGTGTGTGTGTGTGTGTGTGTGTGTCATTATAAGAGGAGGAGAGGACGCTGCAGTAACAATGTACAATCACTGCAACAAATGAATAAGAAACATCAACTCTCAGAATGTGCTCCATCGGATTAAAAGCCAAAGCTATCAAGACAAGAAATATCTGGGAACAGCACCAGAGCTAGGGATTACCTGGCTTCAGCCATTAGCTGGGCTGGGGACATTTCCACTTGTGCAGACACACCTGAGGTAGGAACACACCAGACACCACACACCTAGTTGCACAACTGAGAAGTATTTCATCTCTCACCAAGCACAGCACGGCTGATAACCAAAGCAAACACCGGAAAAAATCCACAAGCCACCACCTGCTCAGAAACCCCACACAACCCAAGTCACAACAAGAAATGACCTTGATTTGCACCATAATATATCGTGAATCTGTAATGTATTAATGCGTAGCAAACATTACTCATTTTACAGCACATGAAGAGAAAATGCAGTGGTACACTAAATCCAACTTCAAGATTACCCACAACCTACCTCCCACAGAAAGCTGGGCAAGTTGGGAAGAGCCGCTGGATACCATCACGGAGAATGCGACGAGGTGAGCAGTGAGTGAGAGGTCGGTAACATCAGCCTGGGCTGGAGCTTCAACTGCTGGCTTCTCTGTAGATAGAACAAGAGAATCTTCAACTTAAATTTACAAATTCAATGAAGGGAATATCCAATTGCGTACACAAATAACACAAAAGCGTTTCTCACACCTGGCTTATACTCGGACAACTCACCCAAAGAATTACGAAAGTTAACGATTCTCAATGACTGGGCAAGTATCTGTGGTATCTGTTGCTAATCTCCAGAGAATTCGAGAGGAAAGTGGTTCTCCTCTTTTGGCACAGCTGAGCTACATGAGGCATGTGATTTCTACATCTCTAACCATAACCAATATACGCTATAGAGACAGCATCTGCAACTGCCTTTGTGATGGGTCCCCAGCCAGTGCATGGATGCCCCCCCCCCCCCCCCACACACACACATACACATACACCCATACATACACATGCACATAAACACACATAAACTCCATCAAAGGATTTCTAACTCATCACACACATGTAGCTATCTCCACACTCAATGCAGTTCTAGCAAATACTTTTTAGTCCGGAAAGCCATATATCATCACCAAAGGAAGTAGTCTCCTTGCTGAAAATTCAATCATCTCAAGTTCTCAACCAAATTTTCGGCCAGGAGCCATCATCAGGACCTTTCAGTCTGCCGAACAATGCATGTCTTACCAGAACTCGTATCTTCTCCAGACTTCGGAGCAGGGACGGCAATGGAAGTGCCTGACGTGAACTCAGGAAGCCTGCAACCAAACCAAAGAACCAGTAAAGAAACGGTTGCTACGGAGATGTGTGTGCAACTGTGCTGAGAAGACGTACCATCCAGATCTCCATTTAGAGATGCATTGTGGCAGGTAAATCGCCCAGGTTCCACAGCACCCGGTACCAAAACAACAAACAACCATCAGGGATGAATTTACTGCTATTTTTTTGCATAGCAAGTTTTGTTACTCGACGGCGAAAGCTAGGCATGGATAGCCTGTATGTATCGCAGTGTTCTGCTAGTCGCGGTGATTTTCGAGTAGCAGTAGATCGATTTTGCATAGCAAACTGCGATGCGAATCATGCGATACCGGATAAATTCATCCCTGACCATGATGTCATCATCCCTGACCATGATGTCATCATCCCTGACCATGATGTCATCATCCCTGACCATGATGTCATCATCCCTGACCATGATGTCTTTATCTACTGTAAGGCTGCAACCACACTAGGTACAAAATCACGTACAAACGGCATTACAGTAGAAATCGTCATGCCGACGGGCGCGAAATGTAAAATGCGCTTTGTAGGTTTTCAGCAACCGGCGGACCCCTGTAGAAAGCCACGTTTGTCGTTTTGGCGCTCCATTTCCTGTTCGCAGCTACAACTTATTTTGTACTGGTACATGGTCGTCGTGCAGAGCATCAGTCTCCTGTTTGTGATTGAAGTCGGCCTCTTCCTTTGCTCCTCAGTGATCAGATGCAGGGTTGAGCGTTATCTCTTCTGAAACTCCTCCGAGTCGTAGTGTTTTCTTGTTCCTGTTGTGTAGCTGTTGTGTGGCTGTTCGGTAGCTGTGCTGTTTGCAAATTTCTCTGTCGATCATCATGCCTCGAGTAGTATTCAGTGATGATTTGGAGAAAAAGTTGATTGAGCTATGGGCAGAATATCAGAGAGACAAGAGCGGAAAGATGAAGAAGAGAACGGTCAAGGAGAGGGAGATCACCGCTACCATTAACGAGTACGCTCGAGAATTGTACG